CCTCAGTCTCTTTAGAAAACGTCTGAGCAATACGGAAAACATAGAAATAGACCTCCTAGGTCCTACAAATGCTCAAAAACCCTTGAAATCCCTAACAAACCCTTCCAAAGCACTCCAACACTGTCCTACTCCCTGCCGAGCTCTTCCAGGTCTCACACCCCCACATCTTGCTGGGTTACAGGGCCACACAACTCACCCCAGCTCCGACCAGCGTGGTCCCAGCAGCAACCCTTAGTTGTCCCGTGGAATGCCCACCCCGAAGCATCCTCAGATCTCTCTACCAGGCCTCATGCTCCTGCGTCAGCAGGTCACAGGGCAACACCCCAGCACCGGCAAGCGTCGTTCTGGCATCGAACAGCCATAGGTCACTGAGTTTAACAGCATCGAAGCCACCTAAGAAGAATTGCTAGGACCCAGGGTCCAAAAACATTCTTAAGACCACCAATCAACCATCCACGTATGGCCAACCTTGAGATCTATTCTTTTGAGAGATTTTTTTTTTTTTTTAAGAATACAGTCAGCCCTCCTCCTATTTCCTTTCACCCCCTACCTTCTTCATCTCCCGATGAGCCAACCTCCTACACCACATAGTTCGGGAAAGAAGAATAATAGACCAACGACTTCACCAAAAAACCCCTAGCAATGAAAAGCAAACTTCAATTCTTCCTCTTCCTACGACAACCCGATCTCCTCCACCACATAGTTCGAAGGAGGAGGAAAAAAGTAGTTCACTCCATTGCAAAACAGGCGCAGCACCCTAACCTCCCATCCCCTTACCGCCTTCCGGCACAGACTTACAACAGCTAAGCCACCATCTCAACTGCGAGCTGTGCCCTAATCTAATCCCGCCAGCTAGCCCTCCTCACCAGCGGGATGCAATATTACCAAAAAAAAACCTTCCCCCCTCCACTTCAGTCCCACGCCTGTTCCATAGGCAAGTAAAGGACACCTGATCCCCACCCACACTCTTCCTAACCCCCTTATTCAACTGCATCCCGCGACAAGCTGACCTCCTCCACCCACAGTTCGTGAGACAAAGAAAAAGTGAAAGCGGACAACCCTCGGCTTCCTCTTGCGACGAACCGACCTCCTCCACCACATAGTTCGCAAAAGAAAACCGAAAGTGATCCACCATCTGAAACTTGCCAGCCCTACCCAAACCTCCAAAACTGATCAGAACCTTCACCTGCCTGCCCCAAACCAAAGCTAACTCATCAGGGGAGGGCAATCCGAATTTAAAAAACCAAGTTGAGTTATGAAAATCAAGGGATTAGAAGTCGAAAGCTGATTTATGAGTATCAGAACTTCATGCAATCGAGTTGAGTCATGAAAATCAAGAGATTAGGATTCAAAATCTGATTTATAAGTATCAGTATCAAGAGACGAAACAATTCCCAAATTAAGAGTTAGACTTATGCGATGACTTTTTAGACATATGCGATAACTTTTAGATTTGTATATCCGAAAGGGTTTTCGAATTTATGGTTGATATGTGATTGATATCAGAGATAGGAAATCAGAACACGACGTATTGGAATTAATAGGAAATCGAAGCACAAAATCAGAATAATCAAGATTCACTCGAATGTTTAAATCTGAATTAGATTCGTCGTCCTTGGATGAGCATCAAGGATTACAATATGCAAACTTAGGAATCAGAAAAAATCAGAAATTCTGAATTAGATCATCATCATTTGATGAGCATCAAGGATTACAACATGCGAGCTTAGGAATCAAAATAGAGAGGACAAGTCGGCAATACAAAATCAATCAAATCAGAAACCTTGAGATCGTGTCGACACGCAAACCTTCATCACCCGCAACAAACTTCACTTGAGATGGCGATGTCGTCCTTTCCCCTTGAAGCGTTATTCTCAATGAAGAGTCCTTCGAAAAACTCCCTCTGCCTCCCTTTCATCCACCTACCTTCACTCAAACCTACCCCCACCACCTTTGGGAGGGGAACATCGAGCCTCCCTCCATCTGACGGCTACGACAGCCCCAGCTGCCGAATACCGAGTCGGCGCCCGCAACAAAGGTATCAACGGCCACCCACAAAGTACTGGATGGTGTGGTAACGCCTCGTTGAGCCCGTCGACGAGTTACCATAGAAGATTTAAGCCCTCATCAGAACCCTTTGTCTTCCACTTCATGCAGTATGGATGAAGGAGAGCGGAGGGGACATGAACCCTCGTGTGATATCATCGCCAACCTCTCCTCATGTGACACCATCACCAACATCTTCGTACAAGCAACCTCTACGCATCCTCGTCACCATCCTTCATGTTGTCCTCCGTGCGTCCCAACACTCAACCACCTCTCCTCCCCTCCCCCCGATATTGCAGCGCGCCACCGCACTGCACCCTCCCTCACGTCGTTGCTGCCGCCTGGCGTCGCTCGGTCCGTCTGCGTGGGTGGGGCGCAGCGCTCCCGGCCGCGCTGCGCCCCCCTTTCCACCGTCGGAGTCGTCTTCCACCTCCTCATCCTCATCCTCCCCCATTTCCTGTTCTTCTTCTTCTTCTTCTTCTTCTTCTTCTTCTTCTTCTTGTCTTTGTCTTTGTTGACATCACCATCTTCTTCGGAGTCTTCTTCTTCATCGTTGTTATGGTTGTCCTCCTCCTCCTCCTCCTTTCTTCCTAGTCCTTGTCCTCCTCCTTTCTTCCTAGTCCTAGTCCTCATCCTTGTCCTCTTCCGCGGCCTTGTCGTTGTCATCGTGCTCCTCCATCTCCTCCTCCTGCTTCCAGTCCTCTTGTCCTCGACCTTATCCTCAACCTCCTGATTCTCGTCCTCAGCCTTGTCGTTCACGTCCTCGTCATCCTTTTGAATTCTTCATCTACCGCTTCTCCTTCTTCTTCGACGTTGTCTTCTTCGTCGCCGTCGCCGCCTCCTCCTCCTCCTCCTCCTCCTCTTCTTCGTCATCATCGTCAACGTTGTATCTTTCCCTGACAAGGTTTGCGCGAGTGGCGACAGTAAATGGGGAGGTTTGCTTCTTGATATCTACCAAAGCCTGACATCGTTCAATATGGTGGCTGATAAGGTAAGTGTAAATTAATATTGTTTCTTCCTTCCAGTTTTCATTTGGCCATCTGAATTTTTATGTCAGGAAATTTGTAGCATGACAACTTTGATATTTTATTTGGACGGATCCAACACTGTATCAATCGCGGTTCTGTCCTGCTTCATTTTTTTGCCTGGATTAGGTGGCAGGCAAAGTCCAAGTTCTGAGAACCTTCAAACGGCTAGGGTTACCGCAACATTAAACTACAAGTACTGTCGAGCCTCTTTTTCCTGATGCAGATTTCTGCTGCAAGCCAATAGAAAGTGAACCAGCCGGGGCATATTTTATTTTTTGTTTTGCCCGGCACCACGAGCCACGTTGCTCCGGTCTGCCAAGGCCCGATGGTTGCAGGGCGTTAATGGTCACTGGAATAAAATGGTTGGGAAAAGGACTCGTGAACCCCATATCTAGTCTGATTGGGAAACCCAGGTTTTGCATAGGGGGAAGGCAAGAGGGGGGGGGGGGGGAAGACGTACAAACTGGTGAGAAAAAAAAGTACAATCTAGAACGGGCCGGGGACGTATCTAATGTACAGGCGGAATGCTATGAGTATCTCTCTAAGAGCGCATGTACCGCCGTCGGCCAATGCACGTCTCAGAGTCTGACGAGGACGGTCGTAGTTGGAAACTGTGTTCTCGAAGCTCTGCGTCGGAGCGGGTTTGTTGGATGAACCCTGCTTCGCGATACTCGTTGTATTGCTGGCACTCCGGGCACGGTGTGCGGGGCCAGTAACGAGCTATGAAGTCCCACGGAACAACCGTTAGGTGATGATACGGGAAAAGGATATAATAGGGAGGAAAACGGGTAGTAATTGCGACGAAACCTGGGGTTTGATAATACTGTTTATTGAGGGTGTCGGGATAGATAATATTGTCTATTGCGGGTGTCGGGATAGTCCGGAATCCGAGAATCGTGGTTTATGGCCCACCGGAAATCGCCACCGCACATTCGATCGTTCTTAGTTTGACAGGGGTAGTCAAGATTCTGTGAGTTTCGTTGTCGCCTAAGATGTTCCCTCTCCCAATACGTCCGATACTCTGAGTTCCTTAGACTCTCGACGTCGGTGACCCAGAAGGGAGTTTCCATCGCCATATCCCACTCAATGGACGATAATTACATTCATTTCCTGACGAAGCGATATCGCAGCTGGGCTTATGCAGACGCGCGTGTATGTTGTAGACTCCGCTGCCGGACTTGCGGTCATACACGGGCGCTTGCGCAGGCAGACTGCTCGGATCCTATCTTGTCCCGCGGATAAGCCAGTGGTAGTCGCTTCTGTCTGTGCGTCGGTTTATCCCGTATGCATGCAATTATCCTCCGCATGCAACCATCATCATTCCAAGTGATTACATACGTGTCCATACCATCATGCAACGAAGAAGCGATTGTCCAACATTAAGGACCAATACGTCAGATCATTCCTGTAATCATGCAGGAACAAAGAGCAAGTGGTCAGGCACGGCATGTGCACCGGGCGTATCCAGCCCGATCCGGGGGAACCGAAACCTCGCGGATCGCTATGCACGCAGCGCAGATGGCTAACAGAACAAAATTGGAAATCGGAAACAACTCGAGAAAGGAGATACGAGCTCGTTCATCAGCATGCATACATACATACAAAACAGAAAATCCGAGATGATTGACAAAGAAATCCGAAACCGCCGCAACAAAGTTGGCCAACGTTGGAGCCAAAATTTCACAGAAGGTGGGAAGAAAGGCATTGTTCCACCATATCCCCGTTCCTCTCTCTCTCTCTTTGCACCCTTCTGGTGTGGGCAGTCCATCGCTCCGCACCTCCAAACCATACAGAGTCGTCACCCCGCTTGGCCCGAGCATGCAAGCCAGGCTCGCCCGCGTGCCACAATCCTTCGTGGCCACACTTCAACCCCGCATACCCAGCACCAGCTCGTCGGGTTGCCCGACTCTCTACTCACCGTCTTTCTGCTCGTTAGCCGAACTTCTCGATTGCGCTAACTCCCAAGTAGATTAGAGAGCAAATTGATCGCGCTTGAAGAATTTGTAGCTTGTGCATCCGCACGCAATAACTGGGATTGCCAAAGAGGAATAGGAGAAAGGAAGGAGGCAGTGCCTATGGCTGGGCCACGACGTGGGGAACGTAGCCTAACTCCACGCTTCGATCCAGTCATGCACTGATCTGGCCAATGAGATAAAGAAGGGAGAGCGCATGCAGCAACGCAAAAAAGAATATCAAGAAAGGAGAGATTACAGTTACATCTGCGCAGGCAAAGGAAGAGCAAGAAAAGATTACAGTTGAGATTGGAATTTAGGCGTGGCGGGAACAGAGCGCAGACCCAGGCGCAGCAAAGCGCGCGAAAGCAGGAAGCGATGTGCAGTTACAGGCAAAAATTACGAGGCACCAAATTTCCTAGTCTAATTAAGGTCCTAATTGCAAAAAAAAATTCCGAGAACCCACGCGGGCTCATCCCAATTCAAAAATTCCGAAGGAATTCCCTGCGCGATTGCCGCGCTAAAAAGACAGACTTCTGTCGAAAAAGAAAGAAAAGAAAGAAAAATGATATATCAGACATTGTTCCCTGACACTCACTAAGGCGCGAACCAACTTCCTCGAAGTTCCTAACCATTGCCTCCCTTTTGTCGAGGGACCAAGGAGAAAACCAAGAACGAGGGACTGCCATGCAATTTATCCCCGACCCCCCCTCCACGTACCCCCAATCCCAGTTGCGCAAAAGATGACGCTTATCAGAAAAGAGCTCGTCGCATATGTGACGCCCAGGGGGTTCCATCCTGTGCAAGCTCCGGGCTCCCACTTGCACCCATCTGTCTCCAACGCCAGGAAGAAGAAAGAAGAAGAACTTGTCATTTCGCAGAGATCACACGTGTCATTACCGTAGGATAAGAGTGTGGAAGTCATCCTACTGACACGTCGTGATTCTCGTACCCGCTTTTAATGTCCCGAGGGGGCAGGGTAAGAAAGTCTGAATATAGAGGCGGGGGGTGGAGGATGTTCGCTTGGAAGTGAGGGCAAGAAGTTCGCCATCCCTGCTACCGTCCCGAGAAGCTCAAGGTACCTGATGGTGCAGTGTATGCCGGGGAGGCGACGACTGCCATGGAGGAGAGAAGCAAGGTAATCAGGATAGAGAGTTGAAAAGGTGCGAAAGAAGGGCGCACAGAGTTGCTCGTGATCTGCGCAGACGGGAATAGTTCTCGTGATTGTGTTGTAGACCACGATCACGTTGTAACCCCGCCACGTGGCGCTGAAAAGGAGGACGTGAAGGCAAAAGGATGGGGAGACACACTAAGTAGTGGGATGCGGATACACTACGACGGCGAGGCGAGTGGCGTAGAATTGGTAGAAGAGAGAAGATGGGAAGGGATTTTGGGGGAACGAGAGCGGGGTGTTGATCTGCCGGAGTGTGAGGTAATCAAGGGGACGACGAGATAATACTCGGGGACGTAGCCCGATGCCCCGCATCGGCACGTGCTCGAACTGAGGGACGGGGGGAAGGGGAGGGGGAGCGGCTCCGTTGCCTTCCCGTCGGAGCGCTCGAAGTCTCTGCAGCACGACACTCATCTTCTTCCGCCGGCGGCTCCGGATCTCGAGTCGGGTCGTCCGGAATTGGCAGATCGGTTCCCACAGACTGCTCCAATGGCTGCTTTCCCTCCGCTATTTTTGCCCTCTTCCGCTACGCTACCGCAGGGTCTTCTCTCTGCGTCTCCGCCTGTCCCACCTCCTCCTCCTCACTTGCTCCCTCTGCTTCTTCTTCTCCGCTTATCGCCCCCAACTCGTGCTCTTTATGCTTGCTATAATATTTGTCCTCCTCGGGGGTTTCTTCCGATTCGTCCTCCTCCTCCTTGTCTTCTTCCTCTTCGCCTTCCGATGTCGGCTTGCCCCAATCAAAAAAGAGAATATTGATTATCTCCACGGGGTTCAGGTAATTATCGTGCGACAGGTAATTACGGTTGTCCCAATGGCCCTCCAAGCACGCCGACCACTGTAGGTACGACATCAAGCTGCGTGAAAGAATATGCGGCGCCGGACTCTCGTCGCAGTGCGAGATGATGTCGATCGGTAGATCGTCCAGCAACTGCGTTAGGAGGATTAAAAACTCTCCTACGATCGGCTGCCGATGTCCTGCCTCCACCGTTCCGAAGACGAATCCCAACAGATCTCCCTCTACCTCCGTCCTCCAAGCTTGAATGATGAGCAATTCCACGTCTTCGCTCACGACGTTATGCTTGTTGTCCTGGGTCCACTTCAGTTCGATCTTGACTAAGCACAAAGAAAGAGTCGCATAGGTTCGCCACCACCCCTGCCACTGTACGGGCTTGATGAGAGGAACTGTCAATGACCGCACGCAGAAAGAGAGACGGGGATGGAGCGCCGACTGCCAGAAGACAGGGAAGACAAAGGGGAGGCTGAAGATAGAGACCCTGTGATGGTTCACTGAGGACGCGAGAAAGCGACGAGCGCAGGGAGAGGTATTGCGGGATTTTTCCGGAGAGCACGGATGCCGTCCAGGTCAATACTATTAATATTGACGACGTTTTCCCCCCGCCACGCAAGCAACTCACTCCAGGATTTTGCCAACTCCTCTCCCCAATCTCACAACGAGACGAGGATGCTCGGATGCGCCCTCGGATCCACGGTAGTGACGTCTCCGCTGAAGGAGACAATTGTCAAAATTTGGCTGGTTCTTGGCGTCGAGAGCCGCAGATAGGCCGATGCTTCAGCCAGCACTTGCGCCTTGCTGTTGGGTATCACGAATCGGAACTCTGCTGTCGCATGCACGCTCGCCATGCTGAAAAAACTGAGCAAATTTGATGACGTCTGGGCTGATACGCGGATGATGAACCTGTCTGATCACCGAGATGTGCCCATATGGTGCTAGCATCAGCTCACTGGGAAAACTCATGGCGAAGAGGAGGGAAAAGATGAGTGGGGAGAAGAAAGACAATGTGGATCGTCACTTTCCCACTCGGGCTCAGATTCCGAAGGCGAACCAGTTGGAGAGGGAGGGGAGGAAGCAAGGAAATGGCAAAGATAGGACACGTGGCAGACTATTGGTCTAGCAGATCGGCTACCTGACACTTCGGGAGTGAGGCGCATAGTGTTCACACTGTTAGGCCTGAGCTCGATCACTCGAAAGCACCCGAAGAATTGTGGCGCTAGTTTCCCTTGACGAGCACATTTCCTCGCCTGCACCAAGTCCCCCAATTTATTCTGGGGTCGGGGACCTGCATTCCCATTTCGGGCCTCATAACTACGGACCTGGCGGCCGTGGGCCAATTCAGTCATTCTCTGCCTTTTTCGGGCCAATCTCGGAAGGGCCCGTTCCATAAGTTACAAATGGCGTTTGGCCTTTTCCTTGGCTGTCGCTCTCGTGGGACGTCGACCGAGTGTCGTTTCATCAGTTAGGTTCAGTATCGAGATGCAAGTTAGGCTGTTGGTTAGTAGTTGAAATGGCGAAAGTCCTGTAGATTCATGCGGGGTCCCTCGGTGTATGGCCAGGATATGATCCATGATATTCCGTCGGAGTGCCGTTTTAACTATTCGGTTGGCGTTTTCTAGGAGGCCGTTTGATTGAGACATATGGGGGCGATATTACGAATAGAAACCCTTCCCCTCGGAATTATGCTCCATTATCAGTAAGGATTTCCTCGTTATCCTGATGCATCCCGAGGAAATGGTTGACATACCGCGCTATTTCCGTTGTCTGTCTTGTCTGACATGGGTAAGCCTTGATCCACTTCGAAAAGTTGTCGACGAACACCAAAAGAATTGAATACTCACAGCTATTTGGTCTAGGGGGCACGACGATATCCGTCGTATCCATGCTAACCCTCTGAAATGGCCGTTGGACTATGGTGGGCACTATCGACCTAGGTGGCTAAATCGGCGTCTTGTCTGCCGCACAGACGAGCACCAAAAGAATTGAATACTCATTTTTGTTAATGGCCGCCTCGGTAATTCTCACAGCGAAATGTGTTGTCGTTTCCTCGTGGGCGGATTTCACCCAGTCATACCTCATGCACGGATGCGGTACCGACATCCAGATCCCGCTTCCGTCGGTTTTTCGCTTTTCTAACCGTTCTCCGTTCCACCTATAATCCCGCGCTCTTTCATTGGCCCGTCTCTGATCCTCCTTAGAGAACTCTCGGAGAGAATTCTCGACAACCGTAGCTATTAAGGCGACATCTGTCCACACCTCTGCTCGTCTAAATAGTCGAATCTTCTCTAGACCTTTCGACGTTGCTTCCGGGAATCGAGCCTCCGTCGGGATCTTATCAGTACGACACAGAGCGCAAAGCCACGGCTTCTGGGGATTCCTATGCTGGATGCATGCCCCGTGGGCTCTCGCTACACACTTAGCACAATCTACCCATTCCACGTATCCTTCGCCTTATGGCTTCATAAACACCGAATAGATTCGAGAGATGGACTCACAGAGAAAACAAAAACGGTCAGGTAGGGAAGGCAACCTTAGGCAGGGAGGAAGAGGAAGGAGAGAGTGGGCCCTCAACATTTCCTTCTCGTTGGGCCGCCATGAAGATACGTGTTACTTCTTCGCCTGCGGGGGAGCACCTTCACTTGACCGTATCCGGGCCCCTTGGGCAGCTCCGGCTCCTTCCATGGGGTGATCTCCTCGCAACGCGGCACCTTGCCTGGCCTGTGCAGATGTATTAGCCCGTCCGCATTCCCGTGCCTCTCCGTCTTCCGATGGACGATGTCAAACTCGTACTCATGCAACCTTACTGCCCATCGCCCAATCATATCAGTGTAGTTGGTGAGTTTCTCGAGTGCCAGCAGGGGCTCGTGATCCGTTACGAGGAGGAACTTCTGCCCATAGAGATACGGGTGGAAGTGCTGGATTCCCCAGACTACAGCATAACACTCCCCTTGGGGCGCCGAGTCATTCTTCCTTTCGTCTGGTATCGTCCGAGAGGCATACTCGACCACGTGTTCTCGCTCGTCCTTTCCTTTCTGAGCCAGGATAGCGGAGATTGCTCCGGGCTGCCAATCGGTAATGAGTAGGAACTGTCGCTCGGGATCGGGCCGAATTGAAATAGGCGCCGAGGCCAGGGCCTCTTTCAGAGTGGAAAAAGCCCGTTCACACTCCGCCTCCCAATTCAACGGCTGGTCCTTCCGTAGGAGACTCGTTAGAGGCCGAGCAATTGGCGCGAATCCCTTGATGAACTGTCGGTAATATGAGGCCAGTCCCAGAAAGGCTCGAACCTGCGTCAGTGACTTAGGCATGGGTGCCTCCCAAACTGCCTCGACTTTCCTCGAATCCGGTCTCAAGCTTCCCCGGGTTACCACGTACCCAAGGAACGAGATCTCGGGCAGAAAAAATTCGCTTTTTTCCAACGCGATCTTGAAGCCAGCATCCCACAACAATTCAAGTGTCCATTCGATATGTTGCGCGTGTCCATGAAACGACTTAGAATACACCAAAATGTTGTCTATGTACACAATAACGCAAAAAATGATCATTCCCTGAGCCAGCCTGGTCTTGTTAACGAAGTTTTGAAAAGTGACATTCATCGCTCTCTGGAACGTCGCCGGTGCATTTCATATGCCCATCGGACAATGAACACATTGCCACGTGCCTTCAAACAACACAAAGGCCGTCTTCGGCCGGTCCTCTTCTCTTATCAGGATATGGTGGAATCCATGCCGTATATCAAATTTACCAAAATAATTAGCACATCCAATCGCATCCAGCAAATCATCAATTCGGGGGAGAGGGTACACATCCTTAATCGTGATATCGTTTAGTTTCCGATAATCAATGCAAATGCGAATAGATCCGTTCTTCTTCGTAACTAAGACCACCGAAAAGGACCAAGGATCTGTGGTGAGTTCGATCCAACCGTTGACTTTGAACTCGCGGATGCGCTCTAATGTCGCCTTCCGTTTTGCGAGTGAGCATCGGTAAGGCTTGCAATGGATCGGTGGGTGGTTACCGGTCCGAATCTCGTGCTGTATGATCAGGGACAATCTGATGTTTGCATCCTTGAGGCTAATGACGTCCCGATATTCAGTGAGAATATCCGCAATTAGTTGGTAAGTTTTGTCGGGCACACATTCCGGCACGTGTAATTCGTAGGGTTGTCCGTGAATGATGATCGACACATGTTTAATGCGTATTGCTTTCGTGTCCCGGGGTGGTGGGGAAGAGATAAAAGAGTTATCCGACTGCCACCAAAATACGGTGGCCACCATCTGAGCCTCATCTTCTCGGATGGCCACGTGTTCTTCGGGGTTTATCCCGTCCTCAATGTCCCGAGGGTCCACCGGTTTCTTGGCGATTTTTATCCCAATCTCGAATAGCGAGGCTTCGGGGTACCCTGGGGGTTCCGAAGCTTGCGTTTCCGCTCCTAAGCGTAGTAATCGTACCTCCTTTCCAATAGTGAGAAGCGATCGAGGAGGTAAGTCTGGAGCATCGCAGAACGAGCGTTTGTCCAGGTATCGTGGCAGCAGCGGGGTAGCTCCTTCGTACAGGGTTCGCGGGGGTTCTGAAGAATCGGGCATCCTCGACACCTGTACTAGCAGCTCCCCTATGATAAGGGTCCGGGTCTGTCGGACTTTCTCCTCGGTAAGCCCGAACGTCTTTGTCGTTTTCTGTCGGACTGGGTAACTGATTACCTTTTGCGTCAACTCTTGGATCATTGGGTCTGTCTCTTCTTCACTTTCCGAGTCCTCAGGAGGTGAGGACATCTATTCCTCATTGGATGTTTCCGAATCGTCAGCCAATCCTTCCCATGTGATCATTCGGATCGGCCCAACTGTATCCGGATGGGCTCTACGTGTCGAGCCGACCGTCGTGTGGAGGGTGAGACGCATAGGGATTGTGTATGGCTTGCCACCTGTGCTTTTGAGAACTACTACCCATCGCTCGAAGTCCAGGTTAGCCTGAAGGGCATTTAAGGCGGGTAGTCCCAGATGTACATCGTACGAGTTTACGTTGAGGACCACTACGTCTCCCAAGGCATGGACTTTTCCCAGTCTAAAAGCGACATTTGTAATTCTCCCGACCGCCCGGATCTTTTCTTCGTCTGCGGAGACCAAATGGTCTCCCTCGGCGAGTGGAATCTTTCTGTCTCCCTGCCCTCTCTACTACTCGCAGGGATATGGCTAATACGGCTGCTCCACAATCGATGATTGCATTGTAGGGGACTCCCCAGATTTCCACGTCACACTCCGCGGATTTCCACGGGATGACTTTGATACGCAAAAAGTGATCACTTTTTTGAATGAGCCCTAGGTGCACGGGTTTTGAGGTTCCCGGTGCGTCAGGTTTTGCTTCTTTCACACGGGCTTTCCCCTTTACCGTTGTCAGCTTGGCGAGTGCGAACCGTTTTCGATTGGCTTTACAGTGCTGCAGCATGCGATAGTTAGCTTGTCCCGATATAGACAAAAGGTGTCTGATCGGGAGTGGGATGCGGTGATCTAGTGCTCGAACGATATCGAGCACATCAATCTCCCCGGTAATGAACGAGGGACCGGACTCCATTTCACTGGGGGATGGTCTCCATTCCGAGACCTCTCGGTCTTCGTCCGCCGGCTGGATTGCCCCAATCATGCCCAACCCCGGATATCCCAAGGATATAAACTGATCGAGCGGGATAAGCTTTGCGGCCTCTTCAGCGACAACCGCTGCAGACACTAACCCGTCGGTTTCTTCTACCATCGTCCCTACCCGTCCTGGTCCGTTAGCCAGGGGAGCTGCCGCCGCTGGGGCTGCTCCTATCCATACCTGCCGCTGGGGGCAGTCTCTTGCCATATGGCCGGGCTGGTGACATGCGTAACACGTGTCTGTTTTGGGTGCAATACTTACACCAGCTCCCGCCGCTGCGCAGCAGATGCTCCAACAGGCAAGGGGGCAGCGCGGACATTAATGGGGCTCATGGAGCGCATTAGCGACTCCATTCGGGTATTGTACTTGCGTTGTTCCTTCTTGCTTTCCTGCAGGAGGCTTACTGACGTGCGCGTGAGCTCTAATATCGCGTTCGAGTCGTCTGCCTTTCCTGTCGGGGCAGGTATCCAAACAGGTACTTTTGCCACCAAGGGTCCTGCACTTTGATCGGGAGGAGGCCGTTGGGTTGCGACATGTTCCAGCCTTCCAGGTAGGTTACGAACTTACGAGGCCCGATACAAAGCCCATGTATTCGAATTTGTGCTGGAGTGCTGTTAATTCCATTCTTCCTTAACATGGTCTTCCCCTTCGAGGAAGTTAGCGGCAAACTTCCTTTCCATTTCCTCGACCGCGTCCATAATCTGCGTCATAGTAAAGGTGATGGGGGAAAACTTCTTTCGCAGTTTGACCCATATTGCTCTACTTCCGAGTCCGTCTATGAAGAAGTCGCTTCCTACTTTTTCGTCCCTCTGGGATTTTACGAATAATCGGTAGAATCTGCTGCGGTACTCTGCGGTACTCTGCGATGGATTCGAGGGGCTTTTGCACTCGGTCCTTAATCATGAAGAACGCTTTCTCGGGGTGAATGTAGTCGAATCTGTGGAGGAAGTCTCTTTCAAAGGTAGGGAGATCAACCCATACAGTCGCCCCCTTACCGAACCGGAAAATTGATCCTGGCTTCATCGTCGTCGTATTGTTGTGCTCGGAACGTGGCAAGCCATGCTTCTGCCAAATGATGCGCACGATCAAACAAATATAGATCCGGCGGAGCTGCTGGTGCGCGGATACGTGCCGACTGTGGAGGCGCGAGGCCAGCGGGGTTCACTGCCCCTTGCGCCTGATTAACATTCATGTCATTGGCAAGTCTGCCTGCAGACCTGCTCCGTGTTACTACGGGCTCACGCGCCGACGCGTTTCTCTGCGCGGACCGTCCCCTTCTCGGGATTGCATGATCGGTTGAACTACAAAGTCGAGCCCCTTGTCAATCCCTTGTCTTGACATGTGTCGACTCCGATGCCAACCTCACGCCCAACGCGACTTCCTGTTTCGGAGTGTTAGTGGGCTTGGAAGTGCGAATAGGGATGTGCCAAGGATTTTAGGAAAGTGGGAATGGATTCCCAGGTCGGAACTGGAATCTCCGGCATAAAGTTTCAGGGGTAGGAGTGCAAGAGTCTCGTTTTAGTTCAGAATCGGGGCGATCGCCGATCTCGCGGCCTGGGCCAAGGACGTATCTGATGACACTGATGTACAGGCGGAATGCTATGAGTATCTCTCTGAGAGCGCATGTACCGCCGTCGGCCAATGCACGTCTTAGATTCTGATGAGGACGGTCGTAGTCGAAGACTGTGTTCCCGAAGCTCTGCGTCGGAGCGGGTTCGTCGGATGAACCCTGCTTCGCGATACTCGTTGTATTGCTGGCACTTCGGGCACGGTGTGCGGGGCCAGTAACCAACTATGGAGTCCCACGGAACAACCGTTAGGTGATGATACAGGAGAAGGATATAATAGGGAGGAAAATGGGTAGTAATTGTGACGAAGCCTGGGGTTAGATAACACTGTCTATTGCGGGTGTCGGGATAGTCAGAAATCTATGTTCGCAGTCGCGGCTGGCCTCGGCCGCGCTGCGGACATGAATTTACGAGATTTTTCATGAAACAAATAATGGGTAAAAAATAAATTAAAAAAAATGGGGTTGTAGGCATTTTCAAGCCCTACAACCCCATATTTGTTTTTTGGAAACAGATAATTTTTTAGAATTATAAAAAATAAAAAACAGAAAAGGTGGAGAAGAGAAATTGAAAAAAAAAACAAAAAGTTTTTTTGGGGGGGGGGATTTTTGGTTGGCAGTTCTTAGTATTCTTCGTTTTTAGGCTTTTTTTTTGTTTTTAAATAAAGAAACAATGAAGGAATGAAAAACAAAGAAAGTTTTTTTTTTTTTTTTTTTTCGGGGCGTATTAGTATTTGTGTGTGAACGTGTGTGTGTGTGTGTGTGCGTGTGTGTGTGTGTGTGTGTGTGTGTGTG